TCAGGGTGATACTTGGGGGGTCAGGAGATCTAGAGCAGTGACAAGAGTTGATTTTGCCCACCAGGGACATCTGGCAATGTCTTGAGATGATTTTTATTCTCATGATTGGGTGTGTATGTGTGGTGGCAGGGGCAGTGGGGAGTGCTCATCTAGTGGGGTAGAGACCAGGGATGCTGCTAAACATCCTATAATGCACAGGACAGCCCTCACAACAGAGAATTATCCAGCCCCAAATGTCAATAGTGCCAGGACTGAAAAACCCTTATCTAGAGGGATGACTGAAGTTAGTCTCGTGTGTGTGTTTGGGGATGGGTAGTGGCAGAGGGGAATGTTCCAGGCATTCAGAATAGCATGCGCAAAGGCCAGGAAGTGAGAGAAAGGGTGGATTAGAGACCAGAATAGTAAAAGTTAGTAAGTCCTGGTGGTGCAGTGGTTAACAGCTATAGCTGCTGACCAAAAGGTCGGCAGTTCAAATCACCAACCGCTTGGAAACCCTATGGAGCAGTTCTACCCTGTTGTATGGGGTCTCTGAGATGGAATCAACAAAATGGCAACAAGTTTTTTGGTATTTGCCAAGGATCCTCTCAGCACTTTCCATATACTCACCACAGCCCAATGGGGTAGGCACTATTCTTATCCCCATTTTACAGACGGCAACATGAAGGCAGAGAAAGGTGATCTCACAGCTGGGAAGTGGCAGAGCTGGGACCTAAACCCAGAGAAGCTAGTTCAGGAGCCAAAGCTCTTAACCACAAATCACTATCAGAAGCTGTCAGTTCTAGCGGAAGTGCTGGGGGACAGAGACTAGCATTGGAGCAAAGATCACAGAGGAATGAGGCTTGAGAGTAAAGCAGAAGTTTGTTGGGAAGCTATGTGAAAGGCATTTCTCCCTTAAGGGCAGTGAGGAATCACTGGAGAAATTTGTGCAGGGGAATGACAGGATTGGACTTGTGTTTTAGAAAGAGCAATCTGGCTGCCTTGTGGAGAATGGCTGAGACTATAGGCTGGGCGACTACTTACGGTTGTCGTGGGAATTCAGAAGAGAAATGGTGTGCATTTGAACTGGGTGTGTGGCTAGCGTCATGGAATGAAGTGGTTAAATTCTAAAGCAATGAAGGAAGTAGAATTGACTGAATAGTTCTGGTACTTGAGAAGACTTCAGGAGGTGAGGGAGAGATTGAAGGGGGCTGTGAGGTTCAGGATTGGGCATCTGTCTGAGAAATGGAGCTGATTCTCTGAAGTGGGAAGTATGAGGGAAGGAACAGGTTGAGGGTTAGCGCAACAGGGCCAAAGAATGGATCATTCAAAGGAAATCAGCTCCATTCAAAAGGATGTACACTTTAAAATAGTATGCAGCCATTGAAAAGGATACTTATGAAGCTTTGACAGTAACTAGAAAATTCTATTTAGAAAGTCAAAACACAGAAGCTTATGTCCATTGATAGAACTACATAGTGCACATCTAATAACCTGAAGGAAACACAGAGAAAGGTTGTGTTAGTAGGTGAACATATGGGTGGTTTTCAATATCCTTGTCATGAAAGAATTCAATCTGAAGCAATACTAGGACTCGAGGATTGCACACTTTGGTTTTTCACAATTCTAGGATTGTTTCAGGCTCTACCCTGGAAGTCACTTATTTTTATATCAGCTTGTTTCTTTTTCATAAATATTCCCATTGAGTATCTCCTAGATCTTTTTCAACGCAAATGTACACACACATACATTCTATCAGTTATCTATTAAGTCAAAGAGTGACTTAAAACACTTTTATATGCTAAAAGGAGCCCGGGTCATGCAGTGGTTAAGCGCTCGGTTACTGCTAATGGGAAGTTAACGAGTCGCTCAGCGGGAGAAAGATGTGGAAGAGTTTTACTCTGTCCTATAGGGGTGCTGAATCAGAATCTACTGGACAGCAATGGGGGGGGGGGAATTTATACGCTTACAACTCTGTGCAGCTCTTGCCCGGGGCTCATTCACGGGGCTGTATGTAGGCAGCTCAGCTGGGGCTGGATGGTCTCAGACATCCTCACTCACGTATCTGGTGGTTGGAGCTGGCTCTCTGGCTCTTGGCCAGGCCTCTATTCTCAGGTAGGCTAGCTGGGGCTTTTTCACATGGCTGCAGCAGTGTCCCAAGAGGGCAAGCTTGGAAGCTGCAAGGCTTAGGCAACACCGCTTAGGCCACATTGTATTGGCCAAAGCAAGTCACAAGGGGTAGGGAAAGAGACTCCGCTTCCTGATGGAACATTGCAAAGGGGCTAGTGCAGTGGTTCTCAAAGTATGTTCCAGGGATACTTAGACACTCCTGAGATCCTTAAAGAGGGGTCTGTGATGTCAAAACACAAAACAATTTGTCAGAAACTAAGACCTCTTTCTGCTCTCATTCTCTCGAGTGTAGGATGAGGTTTTCCCAAGGCTGTAGTACATGCACTATCACAACTGACTGAACGCAGATGAGAATCCAAGCGCCTTTTATAAAGCCAGACACTAAGAGTTTTGCAAAAATGTAAAATAATGCCATTCTTCCGTTACTTTCGTAAGAAAAATGTTATTTATATTAACCTTATATTGTCATTTTAAAATAAGTATTCTAATAATTTCTTGGTTTTAACGTATCACATGACCCACGTGAACAAAAGGCTCTTTTAAGTCATCAGTAACTTAAGACCAAAATGGCTTGAGAACCACTGGCCTAATGTACGGGGACAGAAAGATTTCTTATTTACCTTATTGAATTTAACATGTATGTTGTCTTTATCAGAATGAGATACTGTACAGTCTACCTTGTGACCTTTCATTGAATACTTAACACCTCTCCATGTCATCAAGTTTTCATCTTACCTAATAGCCAGTCGATATTCACATTTCCCTAATTGTCCCAAAATTCCTTTATAGTTGTGCTTTGTCAAACAGGATCAATCCACGGCCTTGTATTGCATCTGGTTATGTCCCCAATGCTTTTTCCACTCAACATGTCTTGTTGGTCTCTTCACAGCAGTTCAGATAGTTACCTCATTCTTTTAAACAACCACATTATACACCAGTGTTACGGATGTAAACCACTTTAATCAATCCCCTACTGATGGAATCTTTAGTGTTGTAACGAACATCCTTGCACGTGTACCTGAGAACTTGTGCAGATCTGCAGGAAAAATGAGAAACCCAATCTTTCCACACAATAAGCTCACACTGTATTTTTCCATATGATGATTAATGTATCTGTCAAGTGGACTAGATGCTTCCATCAGACTAACAGTTTTCTTGCTTCTGGGCAAGCCACCTGGGAAGTTAAATTACAATTTAATTCTAGTCAACACAGCAGGGGCCAGTAAAGCGATGGGCAAGGATGCTCAGAGGATAGGGAGGCAAGAGCAGGCCAGTGGAGCAAAGAACACATGCAAAGCCTCTGAGGCAGGAAAAAAGACGGCACAGCATGAGGAACCGAAAGCAACTTAATAAGGGGGCAGGGAAACTAGATTAATGGAAATGGAACAACCAAAACGGAAATAAGAATGTTCAAACATTGTGAAGAACGTAACCAATGTCACTGAATAACTTGTGTAAAAATTGTTGAATGGGAATCTAAACTGCTGTGTAAACCTTCACTGAAAACACAAAATATTATTAAAAAAAGAAAAAAACCTTAATATGGTGATCATAAAATGAGGGGTGGAGTGGAACGAGTAGGCTGGAGAAATGGGCCTTGTGCCTGTGACAGTTTTGGAACTAATCCTAAGAGCAACACGGAGCCGTAAAGGACTGTAGGCAGACGAGCAACATGTCCAGATTTGTTTAAAAACACATCAGTCTATCACTACGTATTTATTAGAATGGCTGAATTTTTTTTTTTTAAACTGAAACTACCAAGTGCTGACAAAAATGTGGCATAAACCAGAACTCTCAAAGATTGCTGGAAGGAATACAAAAAGGAAGTCTGACTGTTTCTTATCAAGTTATATATCAACCCAGTAATCACTCTTAGATATTCACCCGAAGAGAAATGAAAATATACTTTCACATAAAAACCTATATACAAGTGTTTATAGTGGCTTTTATTCATAACGAGTCCCCAGGTGGTACAAACTGTTCACATACAGTAAAATTCATGCATTTTAGTGTGGGTCTATATAGATAAGCCTGACTTAAAATCAGACTTGTTCACTGTTCCAATGGCAAAAACCCAAGTTTTACAACCTGTTTAGCAAGTCTTGGGGGGTAATAGGCACTCTTGTATAGGGAGAAGCATGAACAGGTACAAACCCTACAAAGGACCATTTGGCACTACTATGCTAAAATCAAAACATGTAATCCTTTAACCCAGCAAAAACCAATTCTTATCTGGGTATTTTTCCTACAGATACTTGCACAAGTACAAAATTATGTTCAAGGTTATTCACTGCATCATGCATGATTGCAAATGACAGAAACGGAAATATCCCTAAAATGGAATAATATAAAGCTCTGAAAAAGGACGCTTTCTATGGAATGATCAAAACAGACAATAACTATATAGTACACAGATTTTTTGGTTAAAAAATGGGGGATAATTATTTATCGTACTCATATGCTTAAAAAAACTCTAAGAAACTAACGGCAGTGATTATGGGGGAAGAGCTCAAGGGCGTAAGAAACAGATGTTAGGGAGGAAAGGGTTTGTGGTCTGGGGAGCCCATGGTGCTTTCTCACCCACGGGTGGTTTAGCCTTGTTCAGCAATCACTGGTGAAATGCACTGTTTTACACGGGGAGATGGAGATAGGAGGTGGAAAAGCCAAGAAGCCAGACACAAAGAAACTTGCAGTCAAGAACGCTGATGCCAGTGGCAAAGTTAAAGGGGAACCCAGGGTCAGAAGCTCCTGAAAAGGAATCCCCACTGCAGCTGAAACCACCACGCTCCATGCCCATTCCTCTTACTAGAGGCAAAAATCCCATTAACCTGGCTGGGTCTGACACTTCAGAGGTAAGTTAAGAATTTACCGAAAGAAAAAACAAAGGACACAAGTTAAATGTATCACTTATTTAATTAGGTTCTTTGCAAGAAATCTAGAACACCAATTTGTGAGGATAAACTCCATTTGTGAGAGCGAACAAAGAACGCAGGTAGCCTTGGAGCTGGGGAATGGCTTTGATTTTTGGCATAATTTGTGAGTCTACAGCTTTCTGATCAATCTTGCGCTGCTCTGTAACCTCGTATTTCTAAAGAAACAGAAAATTTAACATTTAATAAGCAGGTCATAAGTGCCAAATTCCTGGGTCAACTATGAACTCCTGTCTCACAAATGCTCATTTCCAGAAATATTTATAAGAGCATTAAAGGCAATTTTGAGTATTCTTTTTGAAGGCTGTAAAATATAATCTACTTTTTACATAATAAAAATAGCATCTCTTATTCTTTTGTCTACTTTGATGTACATCCAGGATAAATAAGTGCCATTCCTGATATACCAGTAACAGTTAATTCTTAGAAGTTTCCACCAAAACCTCAGGATTCTGGTTAGAGTGCCCAGATTCCACTATAAACTACTAAATTTAGAAGAATATGGAAAAATACTGAGTACTTCCCAGACATGTCTCATTATTTACACCTTCTATTTTTCTCTTTCTGTGTACCAATGCTTAAGCCTGTTTATTTTCACTCCCAACTAAAGGTGCCAGTGATATCACAGGATATGACAGAAACAGAATCTTACCTCTTTCTCTGTGTCAAAGATCTCGCCTTCTTGGTGTCTGGGCTTCCGCAGCTTCTTCTTCTTGAAGTAAGCATCCGTGAGATGTTTTGGGATTTTCACACCACTGATATCAATTTTGGTGGAGGTGGCAATGACAAATTTCTGGTGTGTTCTACGCAGAGGAACTCGATTGAGGGACAGAGGTCCTAAGGGGGGAAAAATTAATTGGCGAGGGCAAGGGGAAACAAATATTAAGAACTGACTTTGAGTAGGCACTAAGGATGCATCTGGATAAACCCACTAAGTTAAATGTTTTGGGTTTTTTTTGCAGATTTGAAGAACTTCCAAACTGTTCTTTCTACTGCCAGCATTGAGAACTTTTCAAAAGCTCAGTCTGTCCAAGGCTTTTCTCCTTCAAATCTTTTTAAAGTCACCCAGGCCAGGAAAGAGCAGTTACTTACTTACGCAGGTGAGTCAGAACCTTCACAGGTCCCTCATGCTAAATTTAGGCACAGTATCCTGTTGCCAAATGACAGACCAATTACAAGTTTTATGCAGGATGCATTCCTGGCACCAGTAGTTAACCATTCCATATTTTAGGTGACAGTGACTTGGTGCTACTGACACACAAAATTTAAACACCTGCCTCCATTTAATCCATACGTACACAGGGCAATGAAAAGAGGCTCAGAATCTCCTGGCACTGAGAAACTTCCACACTGGCAGGAGCAAATGCATTGCAAGCACTTAAAAATTTAAGTTGGAGAGAATATAAAATCCAAGGATTTTCTTACCTGTCACAAGTAGCAAGCCACTGTCCAGCTGCTTCAGGAAAATCACTCTCTGTAAGGTAAATAGAAACGCTAAGTGTACTTGTGTTTCTGTAATTAGGAACTGACTTTTGAATCCATCAAATCCCAAGTGTCTAAATCTGGTAAAAGAAGTATCTATGTATGTACGTGCTCAGCAGTTCTGGAACACAATCATGCAAAACTCTTAACAGGGGTGGCCCTAAGATATCAGCTTTTGCGTTTAAAAAAAAAAATGAGCAGGTATTACCTTTAATAATAAAAAAATTAATACTTTTTAACTCAAATTAGTGCGAATCTTTCATAAGGAAGTAACTCAAATATAGAAATACCTTTAGTTAAAAGAACATTTGAACCATCTCTAACAAGTGATATAATCAACAACAGGGAATGGTTAAGTAAATCACTGTATGTTTGGGATTAAACACGTTATCTGTAACAGGAAAATGTTTATGCTGGGTGAAAAAAGTAGGAATTATTATACACAGTATGTATGACCATTTCTATGCTGAAACGCTCTGCTACTTAAGAGACTGGGTCATTAGTATTATGTTATGGGTCATTTTCTCCACTTAAAAACAAACAACACACACACGTTAGCCAACATAGGCGAATAAAGGAATCCTCCCAGAGTGCCCACTCACCTTGCCTCTGTGGCGCCCAGTGAGGATGATGAGAACGGTCCCGGGAGTGATGCTAGATCGCAGTTTTCTAACATGCTGACTGAAGGGTTTTTTGCCGTGGCTCAACAGCTTCCGAGGCACATCTTCAGTAGGGTAATACCTAGGCTGGAGAGAGTCCATGGTTCTGATTTATTTAAACAAGCCCTTCAGATTAGCAGAAAGCAGAATTCAACTTTTGTCAGTTAAACCTTCGCTACAGACTTCTTATATGAAACTTAAACCCTTATTTGCACTATTACATTTCTGTCACCAGTAAGTACGTTTTTAAATTTGGAAAAGGTCAACATTATGCTTCTGTACCCTCTACATGCAAACCTAGGATGGAAATCATTTACAGAAGGAGCTGCATTCAAGCAAAGCTGGAAAGGGTCGAGCCAACTTACCTTTGTAAACTTGGGGTTAAACTAAAACTTAGCTTATGTACAAACCATTTTTATATACTGTCATGTAGCAGTGATTCCAAATCTTTCGGGGTTCTCTGACCTCCACTGTAAACTACAGCCCTTCAGAAACACGTCATACCACATTTTGCATAATGTTATGAAGAGTGAAGAATCGCTTGATTCCCAATTTAAATAAAACGTAACTCATTTCCAACTACACCGATTTTAGTGGACAGTCTTGCTTATAGCACATACGTGAACACCTAATAGAAAAAACAGCTCACAAAAACTGTGACAAGAAAGGAAATCAAAGTGCCATTCCCCTCTGGTGTGGCAATTTTCATTGTGAGGGTACAGTACACCTGGGAAACATTTCCTTAATAAGCACAGAGCAAACTTTGGGTCTTGTGTGTGGTGATGCTGGTGGGGGGGGGGGGTGCAGAAACAGTGCTCTACTGGATAAATGTTTTCTGGGCCAGGCAACATTCTAGGCTGTGTTTTGTTTTCCATTTAACCCTCACAACCACCCTGTGAGATAACACTTTAGTTCCACTTTACAAGGAGAAAAGTAACTCAACTTACTTAAAGTCAAGCACAGAGCGGTAAAGCCAAGGTGTCAACCAAGAACCTATTATCTCAGATGAACAACTCTCTGGTAAACATCAAACCTCTAAAAACTCAGTACATACAAATCTTCAGAGTATTCGCGCTTAAGCTAAACACATCCAATCTGCTGCATCCTCCAAATCTTACCATTTTGCGAAGTTTAACCACTCGAGTACCACCATTCTTGTCACCACCAACTGGTTTTGTGACAGTAGCAAGAACTTTCTCCTTCTTCTTCTTTTCAATCTACAAGGAGACAAGGCATCAAAAAGTCATGAGGCAAACAAAATCTTTAAGAATTAAAACATAACGATCAGCGGTTCTCCTCTCATCCCTTACCCTGGATTTAGCTGCTGAATACTTCCTCTTGTACATGGCCTTTCTGGAATACATGGCCGATCGGGAATATCTGCCAATTCCTCTGACTAGGACAGGATTTCGGCTGCAGTGGGGCTTCCCCTTCTTGGGCTTTTTGCCCTTGAGGTTAGCCTTCTTAGCCTTGCCACTGGCATCTTTCTTGGCTTCAGGTTTCTTCTCCTTAGGGTCCGGCTTCTCAGCCTTTTCACCCGCCATCTACCAATATTGAAAGGAAAAAAGAAGGTACTTCATTAATCATCCCTAACAAGGCAATACTTAAAAACTGCACATTAAGAGCTCCCCAAACCACAAGTCCTCACCATCTCCTTCAATTAGGTAACACCCATTTCATCTCCCAACTCCCAAAAGATACAGACCTTCCTCCAAAACTGACCTCTACTTCAGCCCTGCATTACAGCTGGCTCAACATAAACTTAAGATCTGGAAATATCATACTCTCGTTAGGTTTTTGCTAAATATTTAGTGGTTAAAATTCTGTACACCATTATTATTCTTATTTTGCGAGTTAGAAAATTTAGGCAGAGACTAAGCTCCACAATTAGCAATCAACGAACATGGAACGTGAACCCATCTGCCTTTAAAGCCTTCGCTCTTAACTTTCAAGACTATTGCCTCATTCGAGAAACTCAGTTGAGGAGACCAGGATACATACACAGGTTAGCCCAAACCTGGCTCATACTTAAAAAAACACAGCGCCAAGAGAAGACTTCCGGCCGCAGACGTGGGAAACATGGAAAAGCAGCATTTGGCCACAACCCTAAATCCCAACGTGGCTGAGACAAGCGCAGCGGCGTCTTCGGGAACCCCAGCCCTGCATTCCAGAGCGCGCGGCCTGGTCTCTCTGGCCCCACCAACCCACTACGGATCCCCGCAGGGGCTCCGTGTCCCATCGCGGGAAGGTGGCGAGCTGCCGCAGCCTCCGCGGCATTCCACCTCGTCCGCTTCGTGCCCCGCCGCAAACCCAAGCGAAAGAAATGAAACGTCTGGTAGGCCTCTTAGCTGGCCCCGAGCATGTCCGGCCCTTCTAGGTATCAACTTGATGCCCTCCTGGTTCGGATGGCGAAGGATTGGAGTCCTGAAACCAACTCTTGAAAAGAAGCCCCACCATTCTTACCTTGCAAGATGGGAAAGAGAACTAAGGTCTTAACTTCCGGTCTATAAGGAATCACGGGAGGTGTCAGTCCCACATCCTTCCGGACCTGAAGCATGATGGGAAATGTAGTTTTTCCTCCTTTGAAGGAAGGCGGGTCGGGTACTCATGACGACCCCGTGCACGACACAGGGAAACGCTGCTAGTCCTGCGCCTTTCCATGATGGGTTGCAGATCAGACCAGTGTGATCCACAGGATTTTCAGTGGCTAGTTTTCAAAAGTAGACTTTCCAGACCTTTTTTCCTAGTCCATCTTTGTCTGGAATCTCCAGAGAAATCTGTTTAGCATCCTAGCAACACACAAGCCTCCACTGACAGACAGGTGGTGGCTGTGCATGAGGTACATTGGCTGGGAATTGAGACTTGGTCTCCCATGTAGAAAGCAATATTTCTACCACTGAACCACCAATGTCCCCAACAGAGTACTTCTGGGGACCGAAATAGGGTTGCCAACTTTTTATTTTGCCTAGCAAGGACATTAGGAAACAACGATAATTCTTAGTGTAAGAATGGATAGATAGATGCATAACCCTCGAGTAAAGTGAAATCTTTGCTATGAAAGGCTAGTTGGAAATCTTCCATGGATATTTTCTGCACAGCTAGTTTAATGCTCTCTCTCCTAATCAGACTATACACTATGCTTAATGGTGAGGGGTCAGAGAACCTAGAATTGAAAATGAATAAAATACATTCCTTCCTCTGGAAGGATACACAGTCAAAGGAAAAGCAAACAGAAAAACAATTACAAGTTATCCCTCCTGGGAGATTTAGGAAAGATTTGGAGAAGAATTGAATTGGTTTTTGTGTTGGGTTTGGATGAATAAATACAAGTTTGGTAGATGAAAATGGCAATTAGAATAATGAATGCAAAAAGTATGGAGGCATGGTCGTGTATCCCTTCTACAAGCATTTGCTGACCACTTTGTACTCAGCTTCTTCATTTCTAAAATCAGGATAACAATAGTACGTAGCTCACAGAGTTGTTGGAAAGATCAAATAAATTCACCAAAGCACTTAAAACAGTATCCAATGTATGGTAAGTGGTCTGAAAATGTTAGCTCTTGTTATCGTCACCATTATGATCATCATAGTTGTGATGAGATCTCAGTATATACCAGTAGTCTGCTAACGTGTATACACCACGGATAACAAGAGCTACTATTGCATGCTATGTGCCTAGAACTGTGCTATGTACCTTTATCGCATTTAATCTTCCCAACAACCTATGTAGTTGTAAGGTGTTGTCCAGTGGATTTCGACTCATAGCGACCCCATGGGACAGAGTAGAACTGCCCCATAGGGTTTTCTTGACTGTAACCTTTATGATGCAGTGGTTAAGCACTCAGTTGCTAACCGAAAGGTCAGCAGTTCGAACTCGCCAGCCATTCCACAGGAGAAAGATGTGACAGTCTACTTCTCCAAAGACTGCAGCCTTGGGAACCCTATGGAGTAGTTCTACTCTGTCCTATAGGGTTGCTGTGAGTTGACACAAAAATACCCCATAAAAGCCCCTAAATCAAAATGTGCACATTTGTGATACCTTCTGGCTTGAATTTTCCATTTTCTTTCACATGTTTGTTGCTCATGGCTAGAGCTTTTCACCTTGGTTTTTTTCAGATCCAAACCACCTGCTCAGTGGCTTTGTCCCTGGAAATCACGTCATAGCCTCTATCTGGCTGTGGTTGACTGAGGATACAGCATAGTGATCTGATTCTTCCAAAGGCTTCAGAAATGTCACTAGAACCCTTCAGACTACAGTGAATGCAGAGTTGCCAGGCCTGCTGAAACATGAGGCTTCTCAATGTGGGTGCCTTCCATACAGATTAAGGATGAGTGTGATCCTAATAGCCTGCATTTTGTGTCAGTTGAGGATTATTCACTGCCCAGGGATGTGATACTCTTAAGGAAGAGCTTGGGCATTGCTCTTTTTTGAGAATGGGAGTGTCAGCAGCTTTATTTGTTCAGCTCCCTTAGCAAAATACCTCTTAGAAACTACTGTTTCAGGAAATGTATCACAATGAAGCACAGCGGTGCTTATTTGAGCCCTTCAAAAAGTCTGACAGTCTCAGACTTTCGCTGCCGTTGAAATAAAAGCATAAATGAACCCCTCTTGTGGTTTGTTATGGTATTGCAAAATTTATGGTTCATTACCAGTCAGTTTAAACTCATGAGGACAGTTGATTGTTGTTGTTAGGTGCCATGAAGTCTATTTTTGATTCCGGGAGAATTCATGTGACAGAGTGGAACTTCCTCATAGGGTTTCCTATGCTGTAATCTTTATGGGAGCAGATTGCCAGGTCCTTCTCCTGTGGAGACGCTGGGAGGGTTTGAACCGCCAACTTTTCGGTTAGCAGCAGAGTGCTTAACAATTGCTCCACTAGGGCTCCTTGGCAGTTCATTAGTTGGGCAAAATATCATAAGTAATAAGATATAATAACAATCATGCTGGTTATAAAGTAAACCTTATTATTAAGTGCCTGGTTTTGTCATGTACAAAATGCTCTTAAATTTATACAGTGCATTCTTATTTGCAAATAATAAACATGTCTGGAGATACTAGGGCCCTAGTGGCTCAGTGGTTAAGAGCTTGGCTGCTAACAAAAAGGTCGGCAGTTCCAATCCACTAGCCGTTCCTTGGAAACCCTGTGGAGCACTTCTACTCACGTCCTATAGGGTCGCTGTGAGTCGAAATCCACTCGATGGCAACGGGTTTGGTTTTCTGGGTCTTGGAGACACTAACGATCCCTGGTGGTATAGTGGTTAAAGCGATTGACTGCTAACTGAAAGGTTGGTATTTTGAAACCATCAGCAGCTCTGCGAGACAGAGAAGTCGCCTTCCGTAGAGATTCTTTACAGCTTTGGAAGCCTCATAGGATTGCTCTGAGTTGGAATTGACAGCAGTGGGGTATTGTTTTTTGTTTTGGTTTTGGAGACACTCATTTTAACCCTCATCACAACCTCCCTGTGAGGTAGGAATGTTAGATGAAAGAACTGAGGCTCTATTAGAATAAATGAATTACCCAAGGTCACATTCTAGTTACATTGGTTCGTATCTCTTTGTGGCACAGAAAGACAGAAAACCATGAGACAGTTGTACTGCAGAAAGGGCACTCACTGTCCTTGTAGCCCAGAGGCCACTTGGTGTATGACCTCAGGGTCATATACCCCTGCACATCACTGTTCTTATAAAATGGGCATGATATTGACAATATTGATAATACTTCCCTGAGTGTTAATATTAAGGTCAATATAGTGATTCACTGACTCACTGAGTAAATGATTTCCTCCTAAGAAAGTTCACAGAAGCATTATTTTTAGTGGCAAAAAAAAAAAAAAAACACCCCAAAATGGAAGTAATTTGAATGTCCGTCAACATAGGAATAGTTGACTAAGTAGCACGCATCCGTATTATGGGATACTTTGCAGCTATAGAAAAGAATGAGCTGTTTAGTACGGCAGCCTCTAGCCAGATGTGACTATTGATACCTTGAAATGTAAATAGTTTAAATTAAGCTATGCTGTAAGTGTAAAATACACACTGGATTTTGAAGGTTTAGTAAGAAAAGAAGGTAAAATATCTCATTGAGAATATTTTCTATTGATTACATGTTGGTTGATAATATTTTGGTGTATTGGTGTTATGAATTGAATTGTGCCCCCCAAAATTTGTGTTGTAAATGCTAACCCCTATACTTCTGGTGGCACAGTGTTTGAAAACTTGGATGCTAGCCAAAAGGTCAGTAGTTCGAATCCACCAGCCACTCCTTAGAAACCTATGGGGCAATTCTACTCTGTCCTATAGGGTAGCTATCGGTTGGAATCAACTTGCAGACAACACGTTTGTTTTATTTTTTAATACTTGCAGATATAATTCCATTTTGGAATGGCTTTTCTTTGTTATGTTAAGAGGCACGTCAGTGTAAGGTGTGTTTTAAGCCAATTACTTTTGAGATGTAAAAAGAGCAAATTAGGACAGAGGAGCAAGCAGAGATGGGGGAAGATAGATGCCATGCCAAATAAAGATCACCAAGGAGCCAAGAAATTGAAACTGAAGAGACAAGGAAGGACCTTCCCCCAGAGCCAAAAGAGAGAGAAAGCCTTCCCCTAGAGCTGGTGCCCTGATTTGGGACTTCTAGCCTCCGAAACTGTGAGAAAATAAGTGTCTGTTCATTAAAACCACCCACTTGTGCTATTTTTGTTATAGCAGCACTAGATAACTAAGACAATTGGGTTAAATAAAACATATTATTCAAATTAATTTCACCTGTTTATTTTTTAAGTTTGACTAATAGAAACTTTAAAGTTACGTATGTGGCCCACATTATATTGTATTTGGAAAACCAGTACTAATCTAGAGGGATGCCCATTGTGTATTATATGAATCACAAATTATACACACAAACACACACAAACATCTAATGAACCTACTTTAAAAAAAAAAATAGAAAAAAATCTATGTTGTGTATGTGATTGAATGTGGGTGTGGAATGTGTGTATATGTTTATATAGCCATAGTGAAAAGTCTGGAAGGATATACTCCAAACCATTAATATTGGTGGGCATTGAAGAAGAGAGAATATACATTGAGGAGGAGGTAAAATTACTGTGTTTATTTGGCTTGTTGCAAGGACCTTGTATCGCCTTTCTAGTTGAGAGAGAAATTCAAATAAAGCATCTATAAATAAGTAAATTTTAAGCTCGTTGTATGCCAGGAACTGTGCCAGACTCTTGGGATATAAAGATGAAGAAGACAATGACTTTGTCTAAAAAGCTCATAATTTAGGGGAAGACAGAGAATTATCAACTGACAATGACTTTGAAGTGTGTTAGGTGCTGACAGAGGCACAAACAGGCTGCCCCAAGAGCATAGGAAGGGGGTGTCCATTTTACCCTCAGTTAGTAGTCAAGGTGTACGCGCAGAGAATGTTTCTGGGAGGGACTGCCTGAGGTGGAGCTCAACTTTCCATGACACTTAGTTCTCCAGATACAGAAGGGTTGGAAGAGTATTCCAGGAAGAAGGAAGTAAATTTTGGAAAGCAGGGATGCAAGAAACAGCAATAGGCCTTTAGAAACTGCTAGAATATGCAAGGGGGTGGGAGTAAATGAGGCTGAACAGGTAGGCAGAGGCCATACTTGGATGGGTCTTAGGTGCTAATGGAAGGATTTTAATTTAGTGCTAAAAACTTTGATCTCACTCAAAGACCAGGGGAGTGACATGACTAGTTTCACATTCTAGAAAGATCCCTCTAGCAGCAGAGTATATAGAATTATAAGAATGATTAGGGAGGCACAGTTTCTGTACTGAAGGAGCTTATAGTTTACTTGGGGAAAGAGACAAAGGATAATTAGCATTTATCAAATGCTGACTTTGCCAGTCACTATTCTAAGTACTTCACAAACACGAACTCTTTTAATTTGCACAACTACCCCATGGTGTAGGTACTATTTTGATCCTCATTTCACAGAGAGGGAAGCTGAGACACAGAGGAGTCAAGTGACTTGCCTGCGGACTTGCAGGCAGGCAGGCAGGCTGGCTTTTGGAGGTCAAGAACTTAATTTCCATATGATACTTCCTCTTAGATTTATAATGGAGCATGTTTGGTTCTAAGCTAGGATAGGTGCCTTGAGGACCAACTAAATCTGGACAAGGAGAATCAGCTAAGGCTTCCTATCACAGAGGAGGTGACTTCTACTTTGAGGTTTGAAGCATAGGCTAGAATTCATGGTTGGGGGTGGGCAGGAAGAACCTTCCAGGGAAACAGAAATTGTTTAAAGACCCTGAGCTAGGAAAGAGCATGGCATATTGAGGAGAACCAAAAGTCACTCCACACAGCTGGGTCATAGAGAATGAGGCAAGTGGTGGAGAGCGAAGGGGCTAGTGATGTGGGCAGGGACCAGACCAGGCTGGGTCTTGTACACCATGTTAAAATTTTTTGGGTTTCATCCGAAAAGCAGTGAGAAACCACTGAAGCATTCGCAAATCTTAGCTGAGTAGAGTCCTCAGGATGTGCTCTCCACCCTGGATGCATAACTGAATCACCTGGGGAATTAAAAAAGAAAAAAAAATTCAAGCCTGGGGCCCAACCCCAGTGATTTGGGTTAAATTGATCTGGGATGGAGTCCAGGCATTGGTGTTTTTTAAAAAGCTTTCCAGATTTTAAAATTCTAATGTGCAGCAGCCAGACATGAGAACCAGTACATTAGCTTATCTTGTGGGGAAAATAGTGTGTGTGTGTATACTTTGGGTGGGGGTGTCCTAACCTCTCTCCCTCCGCAAAAAAAAACTGCTACAAGTAGAACATAGTTTAGGGGCACCCTCGCCACAAAGGAGCTGATGGGAACTTCCCCTACTTCAGGGAATGAGTAGTTTTGCATTTGCGATCACTCTGTTATGTGAAGAGTGGATTGGAACTGGGTAAGCCTATAGGTCTAAGATCAGTTAGGATGCTGTTTGAGTCATCTAAGTGAGATAAAATTTAGGTGGTCAGGATTTAGGAGGATGGAGAGAAACAGGGCTGGGCAACTGCTTGTTGAACAGCTACTACCTAAATGGAATCAACATATATTGAAGATAAATTTTTGCAAGGAGCACATCAATGTTGAAGCAGTTAGCGCATGGTATGACGGTTCTTTGCATACGAATGAGATGGGAAGCAATAGGTCAAAAATGAGGATTTTGGAGCTATACAGATGTCAGCTCAAATCCTAGCTCTGCTACTTACTAGCTCTATTCCCTTAACAAGTCAATATATTTTTAATCATAATAACAGGTAAAAATGATAATAACAACAATTAAAAAAACCAAACCCAATGCCGTGGAGTCTATTCTGACTCATAGCGACCCTATAGGACAGAGTAGAACTATCCCATAGGGCTTCCAAGGCTGTAAATCTTTAACGTAAACAGACTGCCATTTTTCTCTCGCGGAGCGGCTGACGGGTTCGATCCACCGACCTTTTGGTTAGCAGCCGAACGCTCCTATAACAATTATAAAGTACGCATTGTGCAGGCTGGAGCCTTGCTGGCGCAGAGCTTAAGAGCTTGGCCGCTAATCATGAAAGGTCGCTAGTTCGAGTCCACCAGCCTCTCCTTGGAAACCCAATGGGTCACTATGAAGTCGGACTCGACAGCAAAGGGTTTTTTGAACTATATAGGCCAGGGCCATTTAATCCTCACAGTAACCCCAAGAACAAAATGTATTTTACAGATGAGGAAACTGAGGGACAGAAAAATTAAGAAACTTTCTCAAGATTGCATAGCCAATAAGTGGAGCAGCGATTTGTGGAAGAAAATGAATGAATTTCGATCTGGCAGGCAGCGCAGGGATGGAAATTGACACAGTAAGAAAGGATGTGATAGGTCCGAGGGAGTGCGTACAACGGCAAGTACGCGGCTCAAACCCAGAAGATTTAAAGGAGGAAGAGAGGACGCTTTGGGAACTAAGCTGCGGCGGCTACACGGAGCAAGCGCGCTGGCATTACCGATTGTCGCTCATTCCCCAACAGACTGCAAACAGAAGTGGCGGCGGGCGTCGCGCGGGGTGACGTCACGGTGGCGCCGGCAGGGAAGGGCGGGGGAGGAGGAGGAGCGAGCCAGGCTGGAGGTGGGGGGGCGGCTGCACAGTCTCCGAGATCCCCAGGCCTGGAGGGGGGTCTGCGCGAGGCCGGCTGGCTCTGCCCCCCGTCCGGTCCCGAGCGGGGCCTCCCTCGGGCCAGCCTGATGTGACCGGGTCCAGCAGAGCCTGAGCAAGGAGCGGGTCCGTCGCGGAGCCGGAGGGCGGGAGGAACATGACATCGCGGAGGTGAGGAGCCCCGGGGGCCCCGGCTCTGGCCTCCGCCAGGCCCCTGCCTCGGTCGGCCCGCCCCGCCCGGGAGGGGACGCCTTGGACGGGCCCCCGCCCCGGGGGGGGCAGGTTCCCTCCTAAACCCCTCGATCTCCTGGGACCGGGGGCCTGGCCCTTCCGCGCCCCCACCCCTCGGGTCCCCATTCATTTCCTGCCTCCCGGAGTTCCGGCTCGCGCAGCTGGGGGATGCCGGTCAGGACCGGGGCAGGTAGAGCCGCCGGGGGAGTCGCGGACGCCAGCGGCCCGGCTTGGCGCCGCATTCCTGACCCATTGCCTCATGAGAATTGCCTCATGGTGATTCCGAAATAACCCTGCTCACTTAGGGAGGCTCCTCGGCCCGGGACGCGGGAGGGAAGTGCAGGGAGTTGCGCGGGGTCGGGCCTCTGAGGGTCGAGCTCTCTGGGTCAGTCTGCCCCTCGCGCTCTTCTGGGGAGTTCACTCAGAACCCCTGATCCCTACGTATCCTTTTGCATCTCCGTTTTCCCCTACTTCTCACGTGCCAGAAATGGAAAAACTGACTGTATCTGCAGCTATTAGAAGTATTTCCTTCCTCTGCGATCTTCGCTTTGGGAGATTGTGAGGGAAGGGAGCTATATCAAGTTATTTAATCCTTCATTATAACCTTAAAAGTCAGGTAACTTAATCATCCACGTTTTACGGCTGTGGAAACTGAGGCTCAGAGGTAAGTGACAGGATTTGAACCTAAGCCTGTCTCAATTGAGGGTCAGAAGGATTAGTGAGTTAGTGAGATCCTTTGAAAGTTGAGGGTAGTAACGCTATTACTAGCTAACATTTATTTTAGGTCTTAGTCTAAGCCAGGCAACGTTTAATCTTTACAACAACCCTGTGAGGTAGGTACTATTATCCCTGTTTTACAGATCAGTAAACTGAGTTTCAGAAGTTAGGCAGCTTGCGTAAGGTCAAGCAACTAATAAGCTGGTGGAGCCATAATCTCCACTGTTAATTACCGTGAAGCTATTATTATTTTATAGCTATTGCTAATCATTTGTCAGCCTTAATTCTGGTGTTAAACAGTAGTGTCACCTATGGTTTTCAGATAGCCATCCTGCTATTTTGTATTGCCACTCTTTATATACCACTCACACATAAGACCCATTGTCATTTTTCTCCTTGGTTGTCTGTCTAGCTTTGGTCACCGTCTTCGACATTTGAAAAACAGTTTTAAGTTGCTGGGGTTATTTGAATGAGAGACTTTTCAAAATATTAGAAATATCTCTTCAAAACACACCTGCACATTATACATTCATGGATCTGGAAAGTAAAGTTGGAGAAAAGAGAAAACGGAATACTCCTAGGGTGGACAAGTCTGTTGGCAAGTGCTTACAGATCTGGGTAATATATAATTGCATTTCAGCAGAACAGTGTATAGCCTCAAATGGTCTAATTCTTTAGGGATCTTTAAAATAAAACAGTTGTCTATTCTTTAATCTGTCAAATAGTCATTGAGCCTTTTGTTCTTTGTGTCTGCTCTTCCAGACGAGTAAGGATCTGCTTGCTTCTTTAGGAGACAGAAAGACTGGGGGTTGGGGGTGGAGGAAGCGGCTGGGTAGTAATAGACCTTACATTGTCCAACTTACTGGTTTAGAAGCATAGAAGTGTGGGCATAGTCAAACTAGCGAGTGGTAAAGATGACACTTTGAAATGGAGTAATCTCTCCTCCTCTCCAGCCTTGATATTTATTAACCATCTACTATGGATATAGAAAGGAAATACGAGCCAGCTAAAAATTCAGATACGAACACAATGCACATAATTGGGAATTATTTATTACCGTTTTTTAGATTGTAAGTCTGTTTTGTTATTTTTGAGCAGTTTTATTCAAGTATAATTGACATGCAGGAAATTGCACATATTTAAAATATACAATTTGATAAGTTTTGACATGTATATACTGGTGAAACCAGCACCATAATCAATATAATGGAACCATATCCATCACCCCTTGTGATGTTTCGTGTTGCCCCTTAATGATCCCTCCCTTGTTCTCAGGCAACCACTGTTTTGCTTTCTGTCACTGTATGTAAGTTTGCATTTTCTAGAATTTTATGTAAGTAGAATTATATATTCTTTTTTTTTTTTTTCTTTTGGTCTGGTTTCTTATGCTCAGCATAATTATCTTGAGATTCATCCATGCTGCAGTGTGTGTCAATAGGTCATTTCTTTTTATTGCTGAGTAATATTCCATTGTATGGATATACCACAGTTTGTTTATCCATTCACCTGTTGATGGACGTTGGGTTGTTTCCAGTTTTTGGCTATCGCAAGCAACTCTCTGAACATTTGTATACAAGTGTTTGTGGGGACATATGCTTTCATTTCTCTTGGGTGAATACATAGGAGTGGAATGGCTGGATCAGATAGTGGGTGTATATTTAACTTTTTCAGAAATTGCCAATCTGTTTTCCAGAGTGGTTATACCATTTACATTCCCACCAGCAGTATATGAAAGTTTCCGTTTCTTCCACATCCTTGCCAACACTTGGTATGGTCAGTCTTTTTTTAAATTTTAGTCAGTCTAGTAGGTATCTCACTGTGGTTTACTTTGTGTTTCCCTAATGACTAATAATGTTGAACATCATCTTTTCATGTGCTTTTTTGGCATCGGTATATCTTCTTTAAGATATCTTCTTAACCTGGCTGTGCAGTGGTTAAGAGCTTGGCTGCTAACCAAAAGGTCGGCAGTTAGAATACACGAGCCGAGCTGCTCCTTGGAAACCCTATGGGGCAGTTCTACTCTGTCCCGTAGGGTCGCTATGAGTCAGAATGGACTTGATGGCAACGGGTGTTTTAATCTTCTTTGGTGAAGTGTCTGTTAAAATCTTTGCCCGTTTTTTTGTTGGTTGATTTCTTATTATTGAGTTTTGAGAGTTCTTTATATATTCTGAATTGTTGTTTTGTGCCGTTGAGTCGATACTGACTCGTAGCGACCCTGTATGACATAGTAGAACTGCCCCATAGGGTTTCTTAGGCTGTAATCTTTCGGGGAGCAGATAGCCAGCTCTTTTCTCTTGGGGAGTGGCTGGGGGGTTCTAACCGCCATCCTTGCAATTAGCAGCTGAGTGCTTAACCGTTGTGTCACCAGGGCTCCATATATATTCTGAATCCCAGTCCTTTATCAGAACTGCAAATATTCTTTCCTACTCTGTGACTCATCTTCTCATTTTAACAGTGCCTTTCAAAGAGCAGAGATTTTTAATTTTGATAAAGTTGAATTTATCAATTTGTTCTTTTATGGATCGTGCTTTTGGGGTAATTTCTAAGAAGAGTTTTGCTTCGCTTACGATCTCAAATGTTTTCTTTTGTCTTCTAGACGTTTCAGGTTTAAGATCTACTTTGAGTTAATTTTTGTGTGTCTAAAGGTTCTCTTTCTTCATATAGGTATCCAGTTGTTCCGTTACAGTTGACTCTTCATCTCCATTGAATTTGCACCTTTGTTGAAAATCAGTTGTCCACTTATGTGTGGGTCTATTTCTGGACTCTGTTCTGTTCCGTTAATCTGTTTGTCTATCCTTATGCCAATAACACATGGTCTTAATTACTGTAGCTTTAGAATAAGTCTTGAAATCAAATAGCGTTCGTTAGTCCTCCGACTTTGTTCTCTCACAAATTATTTTTAACCTCTGTGTTCATTCATTCAACAAGTAGTATTGAGGCAGACAGGATAAACGGTAAGATAGGCAAAAGCTCTTCTCCTGGATGTGAGAGTAGACAAACTCATGAATAAACAAAATAATTTCAGGTAGTAAGTGCTGGGAGGACCAAAAAACAGCAGAATGTAACAGTGACCATGGAGAATGTAGTTAGTTTTGATGGGGCGTTTAGGAAAGGTCTCTCTGAGGAGGTAATAATATGAGCAGAGACAAGAATTCAGTATTATCCTGAATTTCCTTTTGCTTAATTATCAAAATAATTCTTTTTGATTAGTGTGTTTAGAGTTTAGATTTTATTTTTTTAATGCAACCATGTGGCAATAAGGAAAGCCTGGTGGCTTAGTGGTTAAGAGCTACGTCTGCTAACCAAAAGGTTGGCAGTTCAAATCCACCAGGTGCTCCTTGGAAACCCTGTGGGTTGCTATGAGTTGGAATCAACTCGAGGGCAACAGGTTTGGTTTGGTTATGTGGCAATAGGTGATGGTGCATATATCCTTGTTGTTGTGTGCCTCGAGTCGATTCTGACTCATTGCGACCCTATAGGACAGAGTAGAACTGCCCCATAGAGCTTCCTAGGCTGTAAATCTTTGTGGGAGCAGATTGCCAGGTTTTTTCTCCGTGGAGCGGCTGGCAGGTTCAAATTGCTGACCTTTCGGTTAGCAGCTGAGAGCTTAACCATTGCACCACCAGTGCTCCTTAGGTTTTAGATTTTGTATGCATTCGTTAATTAAAATGTCCGTATATTCAGTGTACTGATTCCTCTCAACCTCGTAGGTAGGGAGACTGAGGCACTGAGCCATTAAGTGAATTTCCCCCAGGCAATTTAACGGCTTTTTTAGTACAGTATTGAATTTAGATTCCATGGATGCTTGTCTGCCCCATTCTGCCTGTTCGGCTGACAAAACTGCTCACATTCTCCAAGTCTTCCTTCAACACGTGGTGCATCCTTTACATTTGCTTTTGTCCCTCTGACAGGTACATACCATGACTTGAGCTGAGAGGAGCCAAAAATTTAGCTTGTTCTCAGACTCTCGGCTTTCAGTTTATCTCTTGCAGGTCAAGTACATTTTGTCCTAGGCTCTCCCTGGTGGCCATGTTTGTTTATCTCCTGTGGGAGTAAATAAACTTGCCTTCCTGAAAAATAACAGTTCCATGACTTTCCCGTTGAAACTGAGATGTCTTTATTAATGTTACGTCTGGATTTAAGGTCAGGTTTTTGGCCAGAGCTGCTCCAGTGCAGGGGCTGCTGCAAAGATTACTTACCCTTTTTGCCCATGGTTAATGTGG